ATCACTGCTCTAGAGGAGATCTGCATGGAGGAATGGGCCAACATACCAGCAACAGTGTGTGCCAACCTTGTGAAGACTTACAGGAAACGTTTGACCTCTGTCATTGCCAACAAAGCATATATAACAAAGTATTGCGATGAACTTTTCATATTTACCAAATACTTATTTTCCACCATAATTTGCAAATAAATTCTTTCCAAATCAGCCAATGTGATTGTCTGGATTTTAGTTCTCGTTTTGTCTCTCATAGTTGAGATCTACCTATGATGCTAATTACAGGCCTCTCTCATCTTTTTAAGTGGGAGAACTTGCACAATTGGTGGCTGACTAAATACTTTTTTTGCCCGACTCTATTTGATCACCTATGCACTTTTTGTTTTTCATGCTATAAACAAAAAAAGACAGAAAATTTTGAAAAAATTAATATTTTTTACTTTTGGCTATAAAAAATGATATAGTAAACTCAAAGTTAGTCATACGTTTAGGCCAAAATGTATTCTGCTACATGTCTTTGGTAAAAAAATATCCCAATAATGAGTTGTCAGTCCACCCCTGGATTGGACACAGCTGATCACATGATCAATCCGACATCTTCGACTCTGTCCATTGATCGGTGATCCATCAACCACATGCCGCCCAGCCACTGTAGAAATACGCTGGCAGGGTGGCACGGCTGCGCAAAACCACGTTTTAAAACTTGCTTTTGCAAAACAGGTAGGGGGCGCGCGCAAGGCGCGCCACCGCCCTACCTGCGCCGCTGATCATGGCAGCAGGTGTCCATCCCCGGGTCACAGCCGGTCATTACTGGCTGTTTCCTGACGATTAATTGGCAATCACTGACAGAGAGTAGGGCTGCAGTAGCTCTGCTCTCTGTCAGTTCCCTGTCAGCTCCTGACATGCTGAGCCGGAGAGAAGAGTTTATCTGTCCCTGTGCAGTACACACCCCCGCCCCCCTAATAAAACACTCCCCTCACACAGTTAACCCTTTCAGTGAATAAAAAAGTTAACCCCTTCCTCCCCAGTGCCATTAGTACAGTGTCAGTGTTTTTTTTTTTTGCACTGATCACTGTATTGGTGTCACTGGGGATGTCAGTGACCCCAAGTCAGTTCCCCCCCAGTGTTAGAATGTCTGCCGCAGTCCTGCCATAAGTCGCTGATCGCCGCTATAAGTCACTGATAACCGCCACAAGTCGCTGATCGCTGCCATTACTAGTATAAAAACAATTAAAAATCCCAGTATCTTTCCCGCCATTTGTAAACGCTATAACTTTCACGTAAACCAATTAATTTACACGTATTGGTTTTTTTTAGCAAAGACATGTCGCAGAATGAAATTTATGACGAAATTTGATTTTTACATTTTTTTACTGGGCATGTTTTATAGCAAAAAGTCCAAAATATTGTTTTTTTTTTCTCAAAATTGTCAACCTTTTTTTTATAGCGCAAAAATGAAAAACACACAGGTGATCAAATACCACCGAAAGAAATCTCTATTTGTGTGAAAAAAAAGACATAAATTTCATTTATGTACCATATTGCATGACCGCGCAATTGTCCGTTAAACTTGTGCAGCGCTGCATAGCAAAAAAATGGCGTAAATTGCAGTATCTATACCATAGTTTGTAGACGCTATAACTTTCACACAAAGCAATCAATATACACTTATTGGGATTTTTTTTACCAAAAACATGGAGCAGAATACATTTTGGCCTAAATTTATAACCAACTTTGAGTTTACTATATATTTTTTATAGCTGAAAGTAAAAAATATAGTTTTTCTTAAAAGTTTTTTTTTTTTTGTTGTTGTAGCGTGAAAAATAAAAAGCACACAGGTGATCAAATACCACGGAAAGAAAGCTCTATTTGTGTGAAAAAAAGGACGTAAATTTTGTTTGGGTGCAGCGTTGCATGACCGTGCAATTATCAGTTGAATTAGTGCAGCGCCGAGTAGCAAAAAGAGGCCTGGTCATTAAGGGGGGTGAATCCTCAGGAGGGCAAGTGGTTAAGGGAGAGTTGCAGCTCCTTCAAAGAATTCAACGCTTGAAGAAGAGAAAAGTTTTGCAGTAGAGAGAAGTGAATCCATCCGGGCCAGGACTTTTGCCCGGTTTTAGACTTTTAATGGCTAAGTCAAGCTCAGTATCAGTGAAAGGTTCTTCCAATAATTCAGTCTCCTCCTGCAGTCTGGGTATCCCACTACAAGTGATGTAATCCTCAACAATCCATGCCCTATTTCCCTGGAGAGAAGGGGGTCTTTGTGTAGATGGCAAGTTATATAGCTTACTATAATAGGCCTGGAATTCTGATGCAATCCGATATGTAAGATGGATCAGACTGCCTGTCTGTGTTTTAATCGCCAGAATATTGGAAGCCATAGTGGATTCCTTTAAAGCTTTAGCTAATAGTTTTCCTGCTTTATCTCCATGTTCATAATATACTTTTGTTTTATAAAAAAGCATACGTTTAGCCTTCAAGTCTAATATTGTTTAAGTTCTTCCCAAGTGTCCATTAGTTCCACCGCTACTTGTTTGGCTAAGGTTTGTTTATGAGCCATCTCAAGCCGAGCAATTTTAGTAGAAAGTTCACAAATTTTGTTCTCCGAGAGTTTTTTACGATAGGCCCCCAGACCTGGTGGTATCTATACCATAGTTTGTAAATGTTATACACAAAGCAATCAATATACACTTATTGGGATTTTTTTTTACCGAAGACATGTAGCAGAATACATTTTGGTTTACATTTATGATGAAATTTGAGTTTTTTGGATATTTTTTATGACAGAATTGAGAAAATATCGGGTTTTTTTCCGAAATTTTCAGTATTTTTTTTATTTATAGCGCAAAAAATAAAAAGCACACAGGTGATCGAATACCGCCGAAAGAAAGCTCTATTTGTGTGAAAGAATTCATCCCCCATATAGTAATTCATCCCCCATATAGTAATTCATCCCCCATAGTAATTCATCCCCCATATAGTAATTCATCCCCCATATAGTAATTCATCCCCCATATAGTAATTCATCCCCCATAGTAATTCATCCCCCATATAGTAATTCATCCCCCATATAGTAATTCATCCCCCATAGTAATTCATCCCCCATATAGTAATTCATCCCCCCTATAGTAATTCATCCCCCATATAGTAATTCATCCCCCATATAGTAATTCATCCCCCATAGTAATTCATCCCCCATAGTAATTCATCCGCCATATAGTAATTCATCCCCCATAGTAATTAATCCCCCATATAGTAATTCATCCCCCATAGTAATTCATCCCCCATATAGTAATTCATCCCCCTTATAGTAATTCATTCCCCCTATAGTAATTCATCCCCCATATAGTAATTCACCCCCCCTATAGTAATTCATCCCCCCTATAGTAATTAATCCCCCATATAGTAATTCACCCCCCCATAGTAATTCATCCCCCCTATAGTAATTCATTCCCCATATTGTGTCAATTCACTTACCTTTGCTCCGCGCGTTCCTCTCGCCGTGTTCCCGCGCCGTTCCGGTCTTCAGGGCGGACTGTGAGAGGAGAGGAGTTTGTCACGCTGCCCCGCCTACATCCTGACAGCCAATGTTTGCCACGCTCCGCGGGCCAGATTAAAAGGTTCGCCGGGCCGTATACGGCCCGCGGGCCGTAGTTTGCCCATTGCTGATCTATACCATAGTTTGTAAATGCTATACACAAAGCAATCAATATACACTACTTGGGATTTTTTTTACCAAAGACATGTAGCAGAATACATATTGCCCTAAATTTATAACTAACTTTGAGTTTACTATATATTTTTTATAGCCAAAGTAAAAAATATTGTTTTTTTTATAAAATTTTCGGTCTTTTTTTGTTTATAGCGTGAAAAATAAAAAGTGCACAGGCAATCAGATACCACCGAAAGAAACCACTATTTCTGTGAAAAAAAAGGACATACATTTCATTTGGGTACAGCATTGCATGACCGTGCAATTGTCAGTTAAACTAATGCAGCGCTGTATAGCAAAAAAATGGCGTAAATTTCATTATCTATACCATAGTTTGTAGACGCTATACCTTTCACACAAAGCAATCAATATACACTTATTGGGATTTTTTTTTACCAAAAACATGTAGCAGAATACATTTTGGCCTAAATTTATGACTATCTTTGAGTTTACTATATATTTTTTATAACCAAAAGTAAAAAATATTGTTTTTTTTTCAAAATTTTTGGTCTTTTTTTTGTTTATAGCGCAAAAAATAAAAAGTGCACAGGTGATCAAATACCACCGAAAGAAAGCTCTATTCGTGAGAAAAAAAGGTACAGCATTGCATGACAGCGCAATTACCAGCTGAAATAGTGCAGTGCTGAATAGCAAAAAAAGGCCTGGTCAGGAAGGGGGTAAATCCTCAGGAGGGCAAGTGGTTAAACATAGTTCGGACTAATGTGAACTCACTTCAAAAACGCATCTACCATGAAAGCTAAACATCCCCCATTTCACAATAATAATGTATATATACACCAATCCCCAGGAGTCAGGCAATGACACCGTGTGATGGATGGGCTCAGAACAGCTCCGGCCAGGCTGACTGATGCGTTTCACACTTCCCATAGGAGGCTTGGTCACAGAAACTCTGTGACCAAGCCCCCCATGGATGGGACGGAACGCGTCAGTGGGCATGGCTAGAGCGGCAGCTGAGGCCATCCATCACACAGTGTTGTTGCCTGACTTCTGGGGATTGGTTTCCCCCTCACACACGACCAAGTCTCTGGAGTAACTTGGAATGCTGCTCCCTTAATTCTTTTCTGCCAGCAGGGTGAATATAATTCACAGCCTTGAGCAGCTCCTGAAGCTCTTTAACCATTCCAAATAATGCGTATATAAAAAAAAAATCAGTCTAAAACTGTATAAAATTAAGAACAAATTGAGTCAAAACTGTTATAGAATGTCCATTTAATTCATTTTCTAAAGGACATACATCCAAGTTAATAAATGGCTTCATTCATTAATCACATGTGTTCTATTCTGTGGCCAAACTACTTTTGATGAGGCCTATTTTCCTCTGAAAAGCCATTTTAATGTCTTTGTTTCTCATGCTGTATATTATGGGATTCATCATGGGAGGTAATACTGTATATAACATGGCCACCAAAGAGTTCACTTCAGCAGATAGGAAGTTTGTTGGACAAAGGTACACAAACAGACCCGGCAAGAAAGCTATACTGACAACTGTAAAGTGAGAGGCGCAGGTAGAAAAGGTTTTCTTCCGGCCTCCTTTGGAACTATCCTGAAGATTGTTAAAATAATCTTTGTGTAAGATATAACAATTACAGAAATGATTAAAAAACCGACAACGGCGTTCATGAAAGACCCTAACTGCCATATTGAGGAATATGTCAGCACAAGCCAAACTGAGCAGTGGATCAATATCACAGTAGTAATGGTAGAGTATATTGGGACCACAGTAAGGTAACTTTAAGGCAAGAATGGTGCCAGTAAGTGGAGAAGCAAAGCCTACACACCAGGCTGCCATTGACAGTATTATGCAAAGTTTTCTTGTCATGATGGTTTGGTAGTGTAAGGGTGAGCATATAGCTACGTAGCGATCGTAGGCCATTACGGCCAGGAGATAACAATCTGTTGCTCCCAAAGACAGAAAAAAATACATCTGTACAAAGCAGGCGGTGAAGGAAATGGTATCCAGGTTCATCAGGAACTTGGCCAACATCTTCGGGATGGTTACTGAAGTGTAAGTAATGTCTATAAAGGACAAATTGCTGACAAAGAAATACATTGGGGTATGGAGATGCCGGTCAAAGATGACCAAGAAGAAGATAAAGCCATTGCCAGAGAGGGTGAAGAGGTAGATACAAAGAAATACACAAGAAAGTAAATTGTTGAAATTCTGGAGGCCCGGGAATCCAAAAATGATGAATTCTGTCACATGGGTAAAAGTTGCATTGGAAGAAACAGATTGCAAGGAATCTTCATTGACCTAGATCATATAAATAAATACAATTAATTAATTATATTATTTTATTGCTCAAATAGCTTCAGCGCTATAACCAGTAAAAAACAGTAACAAACACGTTTTGAGCCAAAGCATCCTCCTTCATTAGGGCTTCAACATTGGTTGCCAGAGTTACAGTATGGACAGTGCTAAATCCTCCTGGATGGATATCTTAATCTAAAATATAGATGTGTGGGCTCAGGGGCTGGGTACCAGCAGATGCAGCAGGCGCCTCCCTTAGTGAAAACTAGCAAATGATACAAAATATCTAATTCAGGGATCAATAAATGGCGGACCGGCTGGACCCAGACCAATGACAGTCCTGTCTGGGCCACTTAGCAGCTGGGTGTCTTCTCCTGGGTCCCCCGAATGGCCATTGATTTAATCCTAACAGTAAGGCAGGGGGGGTGGGAGGTGCTGCAGATCTGCACAGAGAGGGAGAGTCTTTTCAAACTAACAAGCGGTAATCACCTGATTGGTAATATAATGAGTTGTGTAGCTCCTGTCCTCCATCCAGATCTGCAGCACCTCTCGCCCCCGGCCCTGCTGTGAGGATGATAGGTGGGAGACCCAGGAGAGGACATCCCAACCAGATAACTGCCTCTGCCCTGCTGAAGGTAGAACTGTGAGGCTGGAGAGGCTTGCATTGAAAGGGGCACTGTAATATAAATGGGCACTCTGATGTGATGTGTTATAAAGAGGGGTGCTGTGTTATAAAGGGGTGCTGTGTTATAAAGGGGTGCTGTGTTATAAAGGGGTGTTGTGTTATAAAGGGGTGCTGTGTTATAAAGGGGTGCTGGTGCTGTGTTATAAAGGGTACGGCAAAGTAATGAGGCACTGTGATGTGAAGGAGAATACAATGTAAAAGGTATACTGTTATATGAAGGGGCACAGTGATATGAAGGGGACTCCAATGTAAAGGGGATCTGTGATGTGAAGGGGAGCTGAGGACTGTGTAGTACTACTGTAAAGGGGGTGAGGCTGTGATATGAAGGGGGTCTGTGATGTAAAAGTAATGGGAGATTGTGGTCACTGATGTAAAGAAGGGACTGTGATGTTAACGAGGGTTGTGATGTAAAGGGGGCTATGAGGGGAAGGATAGGTTAAAGACACTGAGCAAACATGAGACCTCTGCCAGAAGAAAATGTTACTGACTAGTCCTACGTGAATTTTAATTCAAGACCCTTGATCTGATTGCTCAAACAATAGACTTTCCAGCATTAGTATATGTAGCACTACCCCCTTAGGAGTCACTAGAGATTTGGGTCCCCCTGTAGTCCTGCACAGCCAAACACACAGTCTTCCACAGACTTGCATTCAGAGACAGTAAACAGTCCTTGAGCTTGGCTTGTTATGTTTTATTAAAAGGTATTGAACGTGGATGGGGTAAGGGGTGTACGGGATGCCCAGTGGAACTGAAAATGAGAACAAACTCCTTACCAACTATGTAAAAGGCTTTACACAGTAGAACTTCTGCTTGGTGAGCACTCTAGCCTTTCCAGGTGTACTTCCTCAGACCCCAGATAATCCCTCTTCTTATACAGTTGCCTGAGGGAATCCCTGGGCAAGGAATCCAGTGCCTATCACTTTAAATGAAACAGTCCCAGGTAAGGAGCTAATCAGGTTTCCCACCAGAGTGCTCTTTTTTCCTTGTTTGATCTAGGGGGTGTAGGTCTACTCTGTTGGGAATGCAACAGCATGTACTATAATGTACTATATAGTATTGTATGTTAATATCACTTGACCAGTAGATGGCACTATACACTAAAGGTTACTAATTGTGTATATCTGAAAACTTGCTGGTTCTTTCTTCTTCTCTATTATCTCCAGGAAATAATATGTCTGCTGAAATGTGCTCTGTATGTTTGTAACTTAAGCCACACAAGTAAAGTCATAGTTCTGCCTCATCACTACCAATGTCTTCTATAACACATAACCAACATACTCACTCAGTCTCAATCCTGCATGCAGATTTATGTAGGTGGCTGCCTTCAGACCTTCTGCTGGGCTAGCTCCTTTTCTGGTGCTACAGGCGGTCCTTGCTCGGTGGGTTGATGATGCTGAGGGATCCTCCTTTCCAGCACCCTACCTGTAGGTAGGCCCATTCCCACTGGGCCTCCTCCCAGGGTCCTGCATGTCAGCCACTTTTAGGTGCTGTCCTGACCACATGCCAAGCCTCCTGCTTGGGGATTGGTCAGGATCCCCTGAGAGTGCAGACCAGCTTATCCTCACCCCCGCCCCAATGCTTCTAGAATCTTTTCCAAGGTTCTAGAGCAGGGAGAGATGTCAAGGAACTGATCTGCAGAGCCTCTCAGCCTTGACCTGAATTTAGCCCAGACCTGAACGCCTTCCTTTACACACACATGAACTTTAATGGCGTCCCAATCATAGTTTAAAAGGGTTCAATATTTAGATGGCCCACCCCAGCTATAACAGCTTCAACTCTTCTGGGAAGGCGTCCACAAGATTTAGGAGCATTTCTATGGCAATGTTTGAGCATTCTTCCAGAAGTGCATTTGTGAAGTCAGGCACTGATGTCAGACAAGAAGACCTGACCGCAGTCTCCACTTTATTTCATCCTAAAGCTGTTCTATCGGGTTGAGGTCAGGACTCTGTGCAGGTCAGTCAAGTTCTTCCACCCCAAACTTTCTCATCTATGTCTCTATGAAACTTGCTTTGTGCTCTGCTGTGCAGTCATGTTGGAACAGGAAGGGGCCATCCCCAAATGGTTCCCACAAAGTTGGAAGCTTGAAATTGTCGAACATGTCTTGGTATGCTGACGCCTTAAGAGTTCCCTTCAGTGGAACTAAGGGGCCAAGCCCAACCCCAACCCCTGAAAAACAACCCCACACTATAAACCCCCTCCACCAAACTTTACACGTGGCACAATGCAGTCAGGCAAGTACCATTATGGCAACCGACAAACCCAGAGATGTCCATCGCATTTCCAGACAGAGAAGCGTGATTAGTCACGCCAGAGAACACACCTCCACTGCTCTAAAGTCCAGTGGTGGCATGCTTTACACAACGGCATCCGACGCTTTGCATTGCACTTGGTGCTGTAAGGCTTAGATGCAGCTGCTCGGCCATGGAAACCCATTCCATGAAGCTCTCTACGCACTGTTGTGCTAATCTGAAGGCCACATGAAGTTTGGAGGTCTTTCTGTATTGACTCTGCAGGCAGTTGGTTTGTGCACTGTGTGCTTCAGCATGCGCTGACCCCGATCTGTATTTTTACATGGCCTACCACTTGGTGGGCTGCTGTTACAATTTGGGACCAGTTTTCCTTTAATAATGAAAAAAATCAGGGGATATATTTTACCATGTATACTAAAGTGTGGGGTCTTGTGAGCTACTATGGTGTATAAAAAGTGCTGATAAATATTTAAATGATTAAATACTATAAATGATACTAAAATTGTGGAAAACCAATACAATAGTGAAAATAAAATTAAAAATGCGTGTAAAAACTGTGAAAAATAATGTGGTTCGCTTATACTCTACACATACTCATACCATTGTGTCATGAAGAATAAAATCAGAAATAGTGTTGCGCTCCACTACCAATTGCAAAAAATGTGAATAAATAGAGCTGGATGGATGGATGGGAATATCCCTCTTCCCACTAGGGGGTCTCCTTGCTTCCTTAGGGATTTTTCTCCGTAGGTATAATGGCCATGAAATGTGATAAAAAAATATAGTGCCTTATCCTCTTTACAAATTTGAATGTGTGACGTCACGATGTTTAAAACAACATACAGCAAGTATTCAGAAATATTGGAAAACTTTACTGTGGATTCAAATTTCAACATTTTAATGCATTTTGAACTTGTAATACATGTGAGTGCACTACTTTATTTAATAAATTACATTTTAAAGAGGATAAGGCACTATATTCTTTTATTACATTTCATGGCCATTACACCTATGGAGAAAAGTCCATAAAAAGCAAGGAGACCCCCTGCTGGGAAGAGAGAACACTCCATCCATCCATCTATCCATCCATCACAGGGAAAGAGGAAGGAGTGTAGCTCGGGGTAAAGTTTCAGTACCACAAGCAGTAACCCCAAGCTACACTCGGGCTTACCATGTGGCGTTGCTCAGGGATTCCCTGAAGCGCTTACCTTGTCCTTCGCTCCTGCGATGTGTCCCCGCCAGTGCCCCCAGCCATCTCCTCCAGCCGATGCCAGCATCCAGCTTCCATGTTCCAGTCCCTGTGACGTCGGGACATACGGGGGCCGGAACCGGCGGCAAAATTTGAAAGTTTTAAAAAATTTCATTTTTTTTGTAAATGATTATTACATAGCAAAACATTTCTGTTTCAAACCATTTCACATACATTTTGTCCCGAGTGCTTTGTCCTGCGCCTTGCCTGCATTTTGACTGTTCTTTCTGCCTGGAAACTGGGAAAAGTCCATGGCGTCCAAAAAGCATCCCTTTAGGTCAAAAGCGGTTTTAGACCGGCTAGAGAACAGCGATAGTAAATTAGAACCACTTGCAGAATTGAGTGATAATGATTCGTGGGGGAAATTCGTCATCAGACACTGAAAATGATTTTGCGACTTTGCTCAGCGATGTGCGAACTTGGCGCTATATTTCAAATTTCAGTGTTTTTGGTTTGATTATATTATTTAATTACATTTATTATTATATTATTATTTTTTATGATTATTTATTTAAATTATAATTTATGATTTTGTGTTTCAAGTTTTATCATATCCAGAATGTTTACTAGACTCTTGTTTGGACAGATTTCAGTGAGTTATTCCTAAGAATTACAGGCCGACAATAAAAAAAATACATATTTCCATGCAAAATACTAGTACCGCTTTTTTACTAGTACTAGCACCAAAAATCTGAAATAATCATACCGCCAGGGAGGGTAAAGGGACACAAGCTTTTTTGACCTCACTTAATGGTTTGGTCATATACACCAGGTGAGAGCA